AGATGCAAAAAAGGCGACGCGAACCGGTCCGGGGCCGTCGCCCCCCAGCCTTTAAAAAAGGTTGCGTGTGCCGTGACGTCTCCCCGTCCTATAGGTGCAGGCGCGCGTGAGCTGGAAGCTCTCGCCTAGAACCCGCTTTATTTTCCTGCAGCGGGGCTGGTCGAGATCAGCAAGATTTAATTTCCCGAAGGGAATGCGAAAGAGACCACAGGTTGCTCGCTCCGCCCGACCAGCCTGGGCTGTTGGCTGGAGCAGCGAGGCTGGGACCCGCCGGGCTTGGGGTCCCTCGCAATTCTTTGGCGGGGCCTTCCTCTTTCTTTCTAATTTGAGGCCCAGAAGGTGAGCGAGAGGGGGGTCGGAGCAGGGTGTGAAAGAGCAGAATCTCTTCCTTTTTAAAAACAAAACAAATTGCAAAGAGGAGGCAAAGAGGCTGCTCTTGGTCGGTCTGTCTCGCGGCGCCAAGGAACCTGGATTGCAGTGACGCGTTATCCGAACCGGTGCGCGTTCTGTCCAGGGGGAGCGTTTTGGAAATCCGTTGCCTCGGCGCGGAGCAAGGATTTCAATGGGAGGTTTTGGTCCCCCTCCCGCCCCCCACAACTGAATCGTGTCTTGGGGCTGCATAGAATCCGGTTTGGGAATGGAGGGGAGGAGGAAGGACATGCTTTGGAGCATCGCGGCGCAGCCGTTCCCGCATTTATGGAGCAATGTTTATTGCCTCTGCGTGCAAATCCCACGCGTAATTCAATCCATTTGCACCCAGACCTCTAACCATAGAGGGTATGCGTGTGCGGGCGTGACTATTGCGTGGGTGCAAAAGTACCTGTAAGGTGGATCACGCCCAGGCTTCATTTGGTGACCACTGAAAAGCAGCTGGCAACCCCGGTTCCCTCTTTTCCGTGTGATGCTGGTTCCACCACAGCGCCTTTCTGGCGGAGTTCAATATCGATTCCTCTATGTGGGACTCAGTCGAGGGAAGCACAGGAGAGTTTTCCACGTCCACATTTTTGTAATAGGGATGGTCGTAATAATTGTCTTGTTTCTGCACTGTATTTTTTCAGGACAAGAGGTAAAAAGGAAAAAAAAATCAAATGCTTTTGAGTTTTCAACCAGACATTTTCTTGGAGAAGGGGAGGAAAAAGTTTGAAATTGTTCATTAGGCTGGGTGAGGAGGGGGGAGGAGAGAACGAGAGGGAGAGAAACTATTGATTTTCATTGAAGCCTGTGGAACTCTAGGGAATTCAACCCTGAAGAGTTGTTGTTTAGACCGCTGTGCTCCACCGCCTTTGCAAACTGATTTCTACATTTTTTAGTTGTTTTGCAATGCATCGAATATTGCCTTTTGCAGACTGTACATAGTTCAGCTATTCTTACGTATTTAATTGTTGGTATATAAACCGCATTATATGACATATGAATAGACATCCAGGTCTCTTGACCAAAGGGATAGGGGTGCGCCCGCATGTATGCAGAGGTGCGTACAGTTCACAGAAATGCAAAGCTATGTACATCTTTTTCACATCACAGAGAGGCATCTACTTAGCTGAATCCCCATAACTCCATAACCACATCTGGTAAAGACCTAGGGCTCCATATGTCTAATAGGTGGGGCTTGGTTCTTGTTCCTATGGTTATCTTTGGGGGTGGCTTAGTCTCTTGTGTGAACACAGCCCTTTTGGCTATGTTTATGTCTGGGGTTTAATGGATGATGCAAAATTAGCCCAGGCACATGGTGAAGCTTGTCCTGTGACTACAGTTTGGAAGCATCAGCTTGAGGCAGATGCACTGGACTGAAATAATGTGCAGAGAGGCCAGATGTGTGAGAAGATGGAGGCTAAGAGGGACTGGACACATGTATCCTATGTAATGTTAAGAAGAAGGTCAGCCAATGTATATGAAGGGTATGGCATGGGTGGGGATAGCTGCAGAAATGCGTGCCACCTAAAATTTGCAGGCATAGCGAAGTGTCTAATGCTCCTGTTGGACTGGCAACATTGGCCAAAGACCACCTCCGCCCCCCAAGAAAGCAGCGTGCTGGGCCCCTGAGATGATTTTTTCCCTCTTGCCTTGACCTCCAATGTGTCAAGTGATCCAGGAGGAGCCCCCACCTTTCCACAGATTGAGTAGGGACCATACAATGGGGTTCTCTTCTTCTTTAAGAGCCTGGCTTTCCTCATTGTAGGAAAAAAAAATCCCTATGAAACCCTGAAACCTGGTTGATCTGAGGGCTCAGTCCACTCTGGAATTCCTGGATGGGGTGTCTGTGTTTCGATTGCTATGATTCTTCAGCAACAGGCCGAGGAAGGCAAGGAGACCATGGGAGATCCCTAAATGTGACCCACCAGTTGAACGTGCCCGCATTGGTGGAGGTGAGAGTGGAGCTCTAAGCAAAGCTCCAAACCCTACTTGGGCCTACTTAAACAAGCCCTCCTGAGTTCCACAGAATAAGCTTCCAGCATTGGCCTAATATTTTGGATGCCCACCTAGCTGGGGCAAACTAAGTTCAAGGAGACTTACCTGGGAGTCAGCCCCACCAACTCTGGTTGGATACATTGGAAAATCATAATCCATTATGTGCCTCCCTAAATAGGGAATCCTCCTTGGTTGAATGGGCTTCCTACTTCCCTGCAAGTAAACTCTGTTCATAGGTAGCTGGACTGATTTCTCAATAGACATGGCTTAAGTGTTGTGATCCCTTCATTAAGAACATAATACTGTAACAAGAAAGAAGGAGACGGTTCCAGAGTTCAGGTCTTATTTTGGCTCTATTTATTTTTTTAAATGAAGAACAACAAAATCTGGCCAGACCTAAACCCGCTCTTTTCAGACTCCAGAACGTGGCAGAGAAGCTGATTATTTTCTTTTGACCTGTTCAACTTTACCCTCCAAATAATACATTAACAGAGACTAAGTGAAGCTTCATGGCAGAGAGGAGAGCGCCAGATACAAACAGATCCTTGGCCTCCCCTTGACGGCTTGCTTATTTTGAGTGTAGCTGGTTTTCAGAGCTGAGTATATTCTTCATCCCCTGTACTTTCCTTCTGCCTTTATATGGATGGGTGGTGCAAAACGGGAAGGGGTAAGCTAAAAGAAGGATTATAATTATTATAATAATTAGCCTTGATTTTCCAAATAATTGGTGTCACTGAAAAATTGGAATTGAAAAACATTTCCTTCCTTCTTTCCTTCCTTCCTTCCTTCTTTCCT